GTTCAGAAACACATGTGCTGCCCACAGTTCTCCATCACAGAGCCAATGCCTGAGACTGCCCACTGGTGTGACCTGTGTGGGGTGAGCAGTGCCCAGGAGAGGGGCAGATGGCGTCGGTCACTTTGGGCTGAGACTGGCATGTCAAGCAGTGACCACGAACAGCACCATGCATGTGGGGTCAAGGTGGTCCTGGGGGGCAGGCGTGTCTTCCATGCAGGGTCCTGACCACACTCTGGTACAGGAAGACCCCTTATCACGTCCTTCCAATCAGGTCAACAGACTCAAAGTCTTTCTGTCACATTGTCAGCTGGCTCTAAGGACAATGGAAGATGGAATTGGCCAGCAGACCCAACCCTCCTGAAACCAGGTCGCCGGCCCTAAGTGAAAGGGCGGCAGAAAGGTCTGTACCTCTGGAGACAGGAGGGGCTTTACCCGGCCCACACCCAGGCCATGGTCAGTCCTATAGGCTCACACGGCCGGGGGTGGGGGGCTGGAAACAACAGCGCTCACGACCCTGGAAGAAGAGCCCCACGGTGCCATGCCGGCCCCGACCCACAGCGACCCCACGCGCAGCAGAAGGAAACACCGCCGGACCTCACCATCACGGCTGGGTCTGAGGCCAAGCATGAACCGCCCTGCTCCAGGGACTGGCTTCTCCCCACCACATGTCCAAAGTCCGTGAGACCACGTCTGCCCATCCCTCCTTGTACAGAGCATTCTGGCCGTCCTTCTGTCAACAGAGTTGTCTGTCCTTCCGTGCATCCGCTCCTCTCCATGCTCCACCTCCACCTGCACAGGTGAGTGTAAACGCCGTGGCTCAGGTCAGACCACCTTCCCCGGTCCTTTCTTTTCAACACTCTGAAGGGGTCTCCTTGTGGTGGTCGTTTGAAGCCATTGGGTTGGTCCTGACCTGTGGGGACCCTGTGGACAACACACGGAAACACTGCCCAGTCCTGCATCGTCGTCTCACTGTCCCTCTGTCTGAGCCCATTGATGCGGCCAAGGCGTCCGTCCATCCTGCTGAGGATCTGCCTCTTTTTCACTGCTTGTCCACATTACCAGCCTTTCCTGATGTCCCTCCCCAAGGACTGGTCGCTTGGATAATCCGCCCACAGTGTGGAAGGCAGAGTCTGCCATGCTTGCCTCTAAGCAGCACTCTGGTCACCTGCTTGGAAGGCCCTTAGCCGTCCTGCCGAACTTTCCAGCTTCTTGGCCAGCCCCACAGTTCAAATGCACCGACTCTTCCTGGGCTTCCTTGTTCAATGTCCAGCTTTCACAGGCAGGTGAGGCTCAGGTCAGTGCCCCTCGGTCCTCAAAGGAACAGCCTTGTTTTTCAATCCTCTCATGAGGTTTTGTGCAGAACACTGACCTGATGCGACACATCCACATCTCTTCAATGCTACTTTCGTGAGCATTGATTGAGGATCCAAGTAAGACAAAAATCCTAGACAACTCCGACCTTCTCATGATGCTGCCTGCTGGTCCAGTGGTGAGGAACCTGGTCTGCTTCCCACTGAGTTGTGACCCCCACTGAAGGCTCAGTCCTGGATCTTCATCAGCAAGGACTCCGAGTTCTCCTCACTTACAGTGAGCAAGGTTGTATCATCTGCGTACTGAAGGTCATGAATAAGCCTTCCTCCAACCCTGATTCTGCATTCGTCTTCCTAGAATCCAGCTTCTCTGATGATTGAACAAGATGGTGAGAGGATACAGACCTGATACACACCGTTCCTGACTTTGAACCGCATGGTGCGCAGGGTTCCCTTGTTCTGTTCGTACAGCGGCTTCTTGATCGTGTATGTACAGGTTCCACATGAGCACAGTGGCAGTGACATGATCTGGAATTCCCATTCCGCTCAAGGTCATCCCCAGGTTAGGACGGTCCACGCAGCTGAATGTATTGGCCTAGTCAATGAAACACAAGCAAACATCTTTCTGGGATTCTCTGCTTGCAGCCAAGCTCCACCTGGCATCAGCAATGATGCCCCTGGTTCCAGGTCCTCTTCCGGGTCCAGCCTGAACCTCTGGCAGCTCCCTGTCAGGGTGCTGCTGCAGCCGTTGTTGGGTGATCTCCGGCAACATTGTACGTGGGTGCTAGTCTTTGAGGAGGCTGCCCCTCCCCCATCATGGTTTGAGTATGTGAACCTGAGGGGCTCACCCGCGGGCACAACTACCAGCCAGTGTCCCACTGCCACTCAGAAGGGCTCCACCGACCCAGTTTTCTCCCTGAAGCAGATCGCTAGGCGTTCTTTCCTCGTCTGTCTAGAAGTACCTCCTGGACCTGTCTGCCATGGGGGCCTGCTGATATTTGCAATGTCAGTAGCACAGCTCCCGGACGGAATCCCAGCGCGGAGCCCCCAGCATGACATGCGGGCAGATGTAGGCTTGGTTCCTTCTTTGCAGCCTCAGAACGTGTTACGCATTTCCCCTAACCACTGGCCACGGAAGGAACCGGTATTACTTAATGGCAACAGTTGAAAGGCTTAAAAATAGGACACATTTCTTAAACTCGGGTGGAGAAAGCACAGGCAATCTTAGAGGGCTGCATGCCTGGGGGAGCTGGACCTTCCAGGGGGGTGAGGAGGAGCCAGCTCTCCGTCTCACCCTCCCAGGCATCAGTGAGCACCCCAGGCTCCCCACAGACCCTCGGCTTGAGGTCAGCGTGCAGTGGACGCAGCTGCTCACTAGGTGTTGTGGCCAGAGCCGAGAGATAACCCAGCAGATGGTGGGGCATGTGGCCCGTACCTGTGTTCAGACCTTAGGTGTGTATGAATCACCTGGCACTTGCTAAAGCGTGGCCGTCTGCACCTGTGTGCACATGGAAGGTCCTCTCCTGATCTGTGCCGACACCGAGGGCCTTGGGGAGAGCGTGCTGTGTCTCCGTGAGACAAGCTCGGGTCCTGGTCACCTGCCTACCCAACACCCCTCCTGGGCCACCTTCCTCTTGTTCCTCACATGCTCGGTCAGGGAAGCTCACCTTCTCCACGAGGCCCCCCGAAGTCACAATGGAAAACCAAAGCCCCTCCCTCCTGCCCCCTGCCCCGTGGTAACTGCTACACAGTCCCCTGAACAGGTTAGGCTGGGGGGCATCCGGAGAGGCAAGGCCCTTTGTTCCATTCACAAGCAAATGCTTCCCAGGTGTCAAAGGCAACATCACCTAGAACATGTCCATAATCGATGGAGGTGGATGGATGGATGGATGAATAAATGTATGTATGTGTGTATGTATGTATGAGTAGCATGAAGGAATAGCTAGTGATGGATGGATGGATGGATGGATGGCTATGTGGTTGGGTGAGTGGATGGATGAATGGATGAATGGATGGATCGATGGATAAATGTATGTATGCATGTATATATGTATGTATGAGTAGCATGAAGAATGAGTAGCCGGTGATGGATGGACGGATGGCTATGTGGTTGGGTGAGTGGATGGATGGATGGATGGCTATGCAGTTGAGTCAATGGATGGGAGGGTGGATGCAAGAGGGACTGTATGGAGGATGAGTAGAGGGTGGATGGATGAACAGGTGGATGAGTCTAGTGCCTGGACCCCCACATCTGAACACCGGCCTCTCCCCTGCTGGGCATGTCTGCTCCTGCCTGCTCATCTGCCCCCGTGCACGCACTGGCTTCTCCCTCCATCTCATCTCCTTGGTACTGGCCTGGTGGACAGGTTTGACGTCCAGAGCACACAGCAGCCAGCGGGCACAGGAGACAATAGCTGCAACCCACACGGCACACATTTACGAGACAGGCCCCAGCCAAGGCGGAAACTCGGGGAGACCAGCCACCCCGAGCTGACTGAGGAATCAGAACGAAAGACGGGGTGGGCAGCCCGTGCCTTTAGAGATTGGGAATGGGAACAATGTCTGAATAGCTCTCCAGAGTAGAGGGAGGAGATATTTTAGAGAAACTACAAGTTAACTGCAACACCCAGGTGGCATCGCGGTCATGCTCACCACAGGGTCAGCAGTTTGAAACCTGCAGTCGCTCCGCAGGAGAAAGATGGGGCTTTCTTTCCTGACAGCCTCGGGACCCCCTCTGCCCTCCAGGGTTATTGTGAGCAGTCTGTTGGGGAAGCCCTGCTGAATGAGGCTGCCTCGTGCCCAGGGGGATCTACAGCCACAAAGGAGGGGTGGCTGGACTCTGCCAAGCTAGCGGCCAGCCGCAGGCAGAGACGGAGTGGCACCTGGAGGGAGGTCAGCTGGGGCCGGAGGGCGACTCGGAAGCTGGGAGATGCAGCAGACAGACCAGTGCCTCCGCCTTCCCCACAGCAACAGCCACGGAGGAGCCATCATCCCCATGTCAGGGGCCCACCTTCTCTCTGGACACTGATCACCTCCTCCCACCCCTCCTCGCCCCTGGCCCCTAGTCCCCGCCCCCGAGCTGGGAGCCGCATGTCCAGCCACCCACAAGCCTAGTGTTTACACAGTGCAGCCCCAAGGAGCTTGGAAAGGCCACGAAGAAGCTGGTAGTCTTTCACCACCACCACCACCACCACCTCCGGGGAACTCGATGTCCACCATAGCTCTGCCCCTGCCCCTGGGGGCGTAACAGTGGCTGGAGGGGGATAAAAGCAGCACCTTGTTAATGGCCTCTGAGCAGAGCCCCTAGGGGAGTCAGCCCCAGGGGGCGCTTTACTGAACACAGCCGGGCCAGCTGGCTCTTCAGGTCCCTGGGCCCCCAGGCACCCAGCATTCAGAGCCCAGCCTGGGTTCTGATTCATCAAAGACAGATGTCACATATCACCAGCAGGTCCTGTGGCCACCTCTCTCCACATCAGCCCTTTCAGGCTCTAGCCTGGGCTGGGGTCCCTGGGACTCAAGGGGAAAGCACGCTGGCTTCCGTCCACTGTCAACCCCCCTCCATTAAGATAGCCTGGACCTCCAGTGAGTGAGTTCGAGTCCTACAACTCCCCCCCCACTGCCCTCCACCGCTATCTCCACCACAGAGCAGCTGCAGGCAGTGACAGGCAGGCAGGGTTGGCGACTACTTACCAGTGCCGGCCATGTGGTTCACGCGGGCAGGGCTGAGCAACTCCACAGGCTGGTCTCGGCCAGAAAGTCCATCTGGAACAGAAAAGGCACCGGTTTCAGACACGCCTGTGACTGTGGGACGCTTCAGGCATGAGCCCGGGGTCCCCCATGTCGGCCACAGGAAGCACCCACCCAGTGCCTCTCCCACGCCCTGCTCCTCCGGCTGGGACGAGGCCATCCCCTCCTGCACCTGGGGTAGAGTTTTCCAGGGATTCCAGCACCTGGTCTATGACATCGTGGAAGGGCACCTGTCCCACTGCCCTTGGTGAATGGAAAGTGCAGGGCAGTCTGCCTCCAGGAGCCTATCAGCGCCCCCCACCCCCCACCCCAGTCCCCAGCAGCCTGCAGTCATTCTAGAATCATCCCGAACTTTCTCATGAAGCCGTTATCACTGCCTCGAGCAATTCCCAGATCACAGGAGATGACAGCACACTGCATCATCACTGGGACCCCGGCAGAGGAGGATACAATGTAAACATCACTGGGACCCAGCAGGGGAGGATACAATGTAAACACCACTGGGACCCAGCAGATGTGGATACAATGTAAACATCACTGAGACCCCCGCAGAGGAGGATACAATGTAAACATCACTGGGACCCAGCAGAGGAGGAGGATACAATGTAAACGTCCCTGGGACCCAGCAGGGGAGCCGCAGGGATAGGAGTCTGCCCTGGTGGGGTCCCTGTGCAGTGACCAGGCCTGATGGTGGCAATGAGAGGGCTGGGCAGCACATTTCCCCCCTCTGTTTCATCTAAATGGTATAGCGG